GTTCGGCAACTTTTATTTCTGAGGCATCACCTTAACAGTCCGACGGCTCCAGTGAATGGAATGAGGCTGGGAAGTAGGTTACAGAGAATGCGGACTAAATTGAGATATCAAAAATACGAGATTTTTCATGACTTACTTCATCTGTTGCGTTGATGTCGGCCCCAGCCTCCAAAGTAAGCTCGACCATTTCCATTCTCCCTCGGCTGACAGCCAACATAAGTGGACTTTGACCTGTCTGATAATATTAAAGGAAAAGTGGAAGCCATCAACACTTATAAGCACTGAAGTGTTGCCTAAATAAAGACGACGGTTAGATTTCTTAATTACTGTCAGTACCCGGGGGGAGAGGTACTCATATGGGCTATATATGTAAATGCGGCCCCAAAGGGTATGGTCTTTTTAGCCCTTTTGGTCACAAATAGGGTAACGATTTTGGCCATTTTGGTCTCAGATAGGGCATTGGTTTTGCACTCTAGTCTTGAATTGGGTATGTTTTTTTAGAAGAAGCTACTTTTTCGTCATTATCGATAAGGCCATCAACAAAAGCCATTCACAATGCCTTTAACATCGGTCTGAGCTAGAGAAGAAATTACTGATAAGACAGGTCTGAAACAGGGTATCGATTAAAGGGTCAGGTCATAAATCGGGTGTCGAATTTTTGGTTAGGTCATAAAAAGGGTAGGGAAAATCGCAAAGTTTGGTCTTAAATAGCGTAAGGGTTTTGGGAAGCGGGCCACACACTCCCACCCAATTTTTCTGGGTGTAACCCCTCTCCACCGGTGTGCCAGTATAGTCTTCGTTTAAAAGAAAGTGAAGGATGATCATCGCAGTAAATTTTCCAATTTAAGCAATTGGAAAGAAGAAGCCTGAATGAATATTTCATATATGAATTATTTCATATAAACTTCACATCATTTCACTCCTCACGGGAAGATATCAACTCAATAAATTGACCTCGCTCCCAATGTGTGGCTTCATAGCTCAGTTGGTAGAGCATCGCACCGGTATCGCG